GCGAGACCTCTTGCCAAGGAAACCAGGCAGACCTCTCCTACAAAACGAGACGTCTCCAGTTCCAACCTCAAGGCCTATCCAGTTCCATCTCTAGGCCTATTCGGCAAAAATATCAGTATCCAGTTCCATCTGTAGGGCCAGTCAGCAAAGATATTGGTATCCAGTTCCATCTCGAGGGCCTGGTCAGCAAAAATATAGGTGTCTAGTTCTATCTCTAAGGCCCTATATCAAACAGTGTATGGCCTCGGTTAGTGCCTCGAATGTCTCGCGCTAACAAACAAACCAGGGCTGGAGTGTATGGGGGCGTTGTCCAGGCGACCCTCAGGGGTTGGCACCACTGGAGACATCGACTTTGGAGTTTGTTTCGCCAAGGTAAATCTGAACCCAATATTTCCCACTCCCGGGGGCGTCTGACACCACTTGGCAGCTCGAGCGACTCGATAGCTTGGGCAGAATCGGTCCCATCACTGCCGTGGTTTAGCCTGAGTGGGATGGATGCTCGACCCGTAGATTGACACGGAGTGGGGGAATGTTCCTGGCTGTAGTTAAAACTCCGAACCTGTTATACCCTGCAGGGCGGTATTTCGATGTTCGGCAGATGCCCTCGAGATGGGAAGAGGCGTAGCATACCACCCGGTGAACAAGATATAAGGAAGACTCACATTCGACCTCGACATCTTGGGCCGTATCAACCTGCTGCAACTTGCAAAGAACACAGCACCACTCGCAACAATGCTCACCCCCCTCCTCCTTCTCACCCTCTGGCCAACAGCCCTCGCAGCAGCCAGCTGCACCCGTGCCTCCCTCAAATCTAGCACCGACGCCCTCCTCGCGGCCCTCAAAGCCGGCGACCCCTCCCTCCTCACCCCCGCCTCCCCCACCCTCCGCTACGACGAAAACTTCAAGCCCGCCACCCTCGCCACCGGCATCCTCTCCCGCCCCCTCCCCATCGACCACGCCCGCTCCCTCCTCGACACCACCCAGTGCGCCACCTACACCGAGATCGTCTCGGTCGCGGGCCCGGCGCCCTACGTCCTCGGCGTGCAGCTCTGGCGCGACGCCGCCGACGGCGCCACCCTCTCGCACGTCGACGCGCTCGTCACCACGACGGGCGACTGGCTGTTCAACGCGACGGGGACGCTGCGGTGGGCGAGCCGCGAGGACTGGGGCGAGATCCCGGCGGAGAAGCGCGATTCGCGCGACGTGATCCGGGCCGGGGCGGACGCGTACCTGGACATCTTTTCCGACAAGACGGTCGTGGTGCCTTGGGGCAAGCCGTGCGCTCGGCTGGAGGGCGGGGCGTACACGGGGAGCGGGGGGCCGAACGATCGGTGCGATGTGGGGATCCCGGAGGGGGTCAAGCTGGTGAACCGGCGGTACGTGATTGACGAGGTGGTGGGGGCGGTCGATGTGTTTTTGCAGTTTGCGAGTCTGGCGGACAGTCATGAGTTTCGATTCGAAGGGGGGAGGCTGCGGTTTGTGCATACGATTACGCCGATGGGAGGGAATCCGGGGCCGGGGGGAGGCAAGGGGAAGGGCAAGGCAAAGGCGAGGAGGACGAGATAGTGTGGGGATGAGAGACATGGGTGGATGGAGATGTTGGGTGCGGTGATAGCAGGAGGGGGGAGTTCCCAGCTTGGTTCGAGTCCGAATGATGATGCATTTTATCTACAACCGTTGATGTAAACGATAAAACCAGCTAAAAACCGCCGACATCAGCATCACGTCTGGGAGTGTCATGTCAACGAGAGGCCATACCTACCGATCAGAGCGTTGCTCGCCCGCCCGAGACTCAGTCTTGCTGGGCATCCCGTCCAACGATCCCTTCCCCGGAAATTTTCCCTCCATCATGATGCCTCCTCGTCCATCACGGCATCGTCATCCGCCTCCCCATCCGCCGCCGCCGCCGCCAAGGGGGACCCCGTGCTCGGACCCTCCCCCACCTGAGCCGCGGCCGCGCCCGGGTTGTTGACCGACCAGCGATCGGGCTTCTTCTTGTGGCGGGGCGTGTTCTTGCAGGCGACCTGGATCTGATTGATGGTGAAGGGCGTGGCGGCGGCGATCTGCTCGTGCGTCCACTTTGCGTATTTCCGCAGGGCGCGGATCTCGATGGCCTCCTCCTTGGTGAGGGCGCGGGCGCGCGGTGCCCGTTTGCGCGGCGGCCCGTCGGATCCCGACAACGCCTGCTGCTGCTGCTGCTGCTGCTGCGCGTCGGTCGTCGGGGTCGGGGGCTCGACGCTCGACGTTGCGCTCATGATGGGGCGAGAGTTGCGCGCAGTGTGGTGCTGCCGATGTCGCAGGTGATGGGATGGAGGGGATGGGATGGAGTTGTGTTGTGTGTTGAGATGACGTTCGTGTTTGCGTCAAGGATGCGGGTTCGACGCCTGGGCACGTGATTCAACACCAACCCACTTTGGCTTGACCATGAGATCAGACAGTCAAAAGATCAGAAAGATGGACACTTCAACAGGCTTTGTTCAATATGTAGGTAGGCAACCTTTGCCAGACACACCCCCCGGCAGTGTCCCAAAACTCAACAACGCTCACAGCCGATCCCGATATTCCAGACGCCGGATCATGCAAACCAACCCTCCCGTGTCAACAAAAAAGAAATGGCCTATCTCCTCCCTCCACGTCCGCCGGCCGGTCCTCCCATCCCTCCCATTCCCCTTCCCCCCATCATGCTGCCCATCTGTTCCATCATGGCCTTCATGTCCAGCCCGCCCATGCCTCCACCCCCGCCCCCCCCAAGCATCTTCATCATGTTGGCCATATCCGGCATGCCTCCCGCCCCGCCGCCACCACCCATGCTCTGAAGACGCTTCATGGCCGCGTTCCTCTGCGCCTGGCTCGCGCCGCCCATGGCGCTCTGCGCCCGCTGCATGTTCTTCATGTTGCCTCCCATCTTCTTGGCCATGCCAGCCATCATGCGCTGCTGCGTCAGCAGATCCTCCACCTCTCGCACCGTCGTGCCCGAGCCCCTGGCCACGCGGGTCATCCGTGTCGGCTGCTCGACAAAGATCTTGCCGTCGCTATCGAGCTCCTTCTCCGTCATGCTGTCGCAGATGTAGATCATGCGCTTGAGCTTCATCGACCCCTCTTCGTCGTCCATGCTCTGCATCATGTTGCTCATGCCCGGGATCATGCCCGCCATCTTGCTGAGCGGCCCCATCTTCATGATGTTGGACAGCTGGTCCCGCAGATCGCGGACGGTAAAGATGCCCTCGGTGATGTGCTTGATCGTGTCCTTTTGGTCCAGCTTCAGGCTCTGCACGTGCTCCACCAGCCCGGCCATGTCGCCCATGCCGAGCAGCTTGCTGACAAAGTTTCGTGGCACGAAGCGCTCCAGGTCCAGCATGTGCTCGCCCGTTCCGATAAACACAATCGGTGTGTGTGTCGCCGCGACCGCCGAGATGGCGCCACCGCCCGCAGCGTGGCCGTCCGTCTTGGTGATGATAATGGCTCCAAAGTCCGCCGCATCCTTGAACGCCTTGGCCTGGGCCTCTGCTTGTTGACCAATCGACGAGTCGAGCACCATGATGGTCTCGTCGGGCTTGATGGCCGACTGGATGTCTGTCATCTCCTGGAACAGCGCGCTCTCCTGCCTGTGACGACCCGACGTGTCCACGATGATGATCTCAAAGCGCTCCTTCTTGAACTTCTCCACGCCGTCGCGCGCCACCACGGCCGGATCCGTCTCGGTCAGGCTGCCGTAGTATGGGATTTTTGCCTTGGTCGCGTTCTGCTTGAGCTGGTCGAAGGCGCCGGCGCGGAAGGTATCGGCGCACACGAGGCAGGCGCGGAAGCCGCGGGACTGGTAATGGCGGGCGAGCTTGGTACATGTCGTCGTCTTTCCGGCTCCCTGGAGACCAACAAACATGATGACATTGCTCTTTCCCTTCTTCGGCTTGAACGGCTCGGCGTGGGGATCGACGAGGCGGACGAGTTCATCGTAGACGGTCTTTTGGATCAATCGCTTCTTGTTGACGGCGGGCGGGAGGTCTTTGAAGTTGACGGTGGATCGGATCGACTTTCGGAGCTGGTTGACGAGGCGCACGTTGACATCGGCTTCGAGAAGGGCGGCGCAGATCTCCTTGAGCATGGAGTCAAAGGCCTGGACAGGGGGAGAGGTTAGCAGAGGGCGCGCGATGGGTCATTTGAGAAGTGGCCACATGGGAGGGAGGGAGGGCGCTGCTCTACCTTTTCGTCGAGATTAGGTGCTCTGGTGAGGTCGCTCACCGCCGCGTTGATGCGGCGGCCAAGATCTTGCAAAACCATGGTCGAGAGGGGGCGGCCGTGAAGCCGTCGTCGGACTGAAGGTGTTGCGGCGATGGAGTTGTAGGTCGTCGCCAACTCGGCTCTTGGAGGTTGACCCTGGAATCTGGGCTGGTGGGGCGAAAATCATGCCCCGCAAGCTGGGGCCCCAGCTCGGCGGGCTCCCTCGCCAAGATGAAGTTGTGGCTGCCAGGTGGCCACAGGTGGTGTCCTCAGTGCCATCAGCCGGCCAGGCGTTCCATCAACCACAAAGACCTGGACCCGACGGCCAAACAGCATCAAACACCATCGAACCTCGACCCAACTTGACGCCGACAACCATCCTACCAACCATGAACAACTAGCGGGCCAACTCCAACGTTCCGTAACGAAGCGCACTCCCCAGTCCCGCGTCTGCGCGCCAACCCAGTTGTTCCCTTGCCCTCACCAGGACCACCTCAGAAGAGGACGCGACGACAGACACTTGGACTCCGCGACAACATCTCAATCACCATCACACTCCACTTCAGACAGGCCCGGGGGCGAATGCGACGACTTCCCAATACCACCTGCCCATCCCTACGGGGTGGCGCAACATCACCACGCGGGCCTGTCACGCGGGCCTGTCCAACATAACCCATCTCCTTGATCGCCACCCCATCAGGCGACAGCCAACACCTGTCTGGCCCGGCATTGCTCCGACTGTCGTGAACCCAAATAACTGAGCGGCCAATATATCCTAACAAGGCAACTTGGCCGAGCGGTCTAAGGCGCCACACTCAAGGAATTCCTTGCCCCATCTAATGGGGTAGCATTGTGGTATCGCAAGATGCGTGAGTTCGAATCTCACAGTTGTCAAATCCTTTTTTTGCTTCCACGAGCATCGCCATCATGATGGATAACTCTGCTTTTATGCCGGTTGCTGGCGGCCTCGAATTTCCTCCCCCAACGGCACTTCTCGGAGGAAACTGTCACACCCACGAGGACTATTCGACGCTTCAAGGTGATTGGAGGCTGGGTGCGAACCATTTCTTCGGTATCATCGCGAATTCTCAGTTCCACCATTGCTCAAAGCATTACTATCCGTAATCGCGGGTATTACCACCGCCATACCGTCATGTCCCAACTCTGCGCCTCCAATAATGACTCCATAAAGTTTAATCCACTGCAAATACAACGCCCCGAAAACACCAACGATGTCTCAACTCCTGATTCCTGAGTTTCGTTCACTCCACCCCTTACACGATGTTGTCACCCCTAACTCCAGTTCCGGCAACGTTTCCATGGTGGCCATTGTTGACCCCCGTCACACCGTGTCCAGCATGAGCCGAGTGGCCGTTGCCATAGCCCTTCCCACTGCCGTTGTCCCATCCCCAGCCGGCCTTCCTGGTAAACGTGGCGCCGTGCAGCTCAGAGTCGCCGACTCCGTACATGAAGGGCGCGTTGCGGTTCAGGGGAATGTGGTTGAAGCGCCAGTCCCAGATAGCAGCAAAGGTCATGCGGTAGGCGCTGAAGGCCATGACGGTTCCGATGACGGCTCCGGCGATCAGGTCGTACCAGTGGTGGAACTCACTGCGACCAGTCAGTCATGGCTGTATTGGGATGGAAGAAATAGACTTACTCAATGCTGAGAGCACCGGCAATCAGGCAAGCGCCGAGGAGAGGCATATAGGTAACGGCCAGCTTCCACAGGCTAGGGTGGTAGTTCGAAAAGACCTTGAGCTTGGCGTTAAGGTACAGGTACAGATAGACAAATCCTGCCCATGCCGCTGTGGCGTGACCTGACGGCATCGACTCTAGGCTGTCATTGATCTCCTTGCGATCGCCCGTGCAGATGTCGGGGGTGAAGTAGATGTTCTGGAAGCCGCCGACGCCGTTGGCGGCCGCCCGGACCAGCGCAGGGTCGGGCTTGCACACGGCGAGAAAGTGCGGGCGGAGGCCACCAATCAGCCACTTGATGAAGACCTGGAAGACGGCGGCCGTGATCAGGCTGTAGAGAACACCGAGAGAGGCATTGTTGAAGTCCCAGAAGGAGCGGACGCGGATCTGCATAATCGCGAATACTGTAATCGGTACCAAGGCAGCCAAGAGGGCGGCAGCCCAAATTGGGACGATTTCCTTTCGGAGGGGGTAGGCGAACTGGGGGTAGACAATCTCGCCGTCCGAGAAGGTGATGGCGAAAGAGCGGGAGGGGGCCGGAGGGGCAAAGTAGACCTGAACGTGGTGGTCAGCGTGTGGATGGGGGAGAGAGGGTGGTGTCCAACTTACGCCCAGGCCAATGGCACCGAGGATGACCATGGTGAGGATGTCGAGCCACACGGCCTTGAGCCACTGTCCAAAGCTGGGGGCCATGGACATGTTCTCGCCGTGGTGGTGCTTTTCGTGCTTGGCAGCAGGCACCGCTCCGTCGCGCGCGCGTCGATTGAAGAGGCCCATGGTGATGGTCGGGGTCGCTTTCGTGAATCTCTGTGGAAAGGGACGCACCAGGACGGTGGCGGTGGTGATCAAAGTGCTGGTTGCTGTCGAGATGGATGTGTACAGTGGAAGATGGTTGTGGCCGAGGGGGAGGCGCAAAGACGGTGTTTATAACAGGTCATTCGGCAAAGCTCATTGACGTCAGTAGCAAGGTGACATACGCGGTGCAGTGGTGGCACTGGCACCAGCACACCTGGGCATACTGCGTAGCCTGGAACTAAGGACCGGGAGTCGGCACCAGGTGATGGTTGTGCATTGTGCAATTCACAGTTTGACGAAACAGCGGGCCACAATGACCAGTGGAACAGCTAACTCTGCTGTGCCATCTACGACATTCGGCAACTGCCTGCCGAGTGGAAGCTCCAGATACATGCAAGAGCGTCGTCTGGATCGGGAAAGCGGCATCCCGGCCTTGGCACGGCGCTCCCCGAATGACATCACCGGTGCACGGAGCTTGGCAAACCCGGCTCAACCTTGGCACGGAGGGACCCAGGGACCCAAGCTTTCCCCTGAACCAGCAATGGAACATGCCTTGCAGGAGGAGAGTGGTCTGGACCGGATGAACAAGCTTCTTCATTCATTGGACCAAGAAATTCTTATTTCCCCCTCTCGACAGGATGCCTCGACAAGCATTGTGGCATTTCAATCCAACGCTCACACGCTCACAAACAACCCAGTATTGGATTGGTCACTTGGGGATTGACAAGCGACCTCCCGTAACAAGTACGACCGTTGCTTGATCCAATAACAGTTGCAGCCCGAGGCAGTTGACTGCGGTTGGCGTTGTGGTTGCTGATGGTTGAGGTCCAATGTTCTGCAAGGACCGAGTGAAAATGCCCGATATCCAAACCACCTACCATTTCTTACACAACCCCACCAAGGCACAATAATCATGAGCAGTGCACTTGAAGTCGGCTTCATTTCACCTAGCTTGGGGCGATTTAAGTACGGCATCAAAAATGACGACGGCTGAATGAACATCTCCAAAGCAGCAACCCCGCCTTTGCGTCATTTTTTCCCGCCTTGACTCCAACCACTCCGCCATGGCTATGCATCATCTTTCACCAGTCCGTTGAATTCATACCCAGCAACTCAAACATCAGATCACCATGGCCGACAAGAAACGCCCACTCCGGATCGGCTACGTGCCCGAGCACTTTTCGACCCCTCTGTACTTTGCCACGGCCCACTACGGCCTCGGCGCCGAGCTCATCGCCTTCCCCTCGGGCACCGGCCACATGGTCACGGCCCTGCGGAGCCACGACATTGACGTCGGCATCGGCCTCACCGAGGGCTGGGTTGCCGGCCTCGGCAAGGTCACCGACGCCGAGCCCGGCGACAGCGGCTACCGCCTCGTCGGCACCTACGTCGAGACACCCCTCTGCAAGTTCCCCTCCCCGGCCCACCTCAGCATACTGCCAAACTAACACCCCCAGGCTGGGCCATCTCCACGGGCGCCCAGCGCCCTGACATCAACACCATTGACTCCCTCAAGGGCTCCCGCATCGGCGTCTCACGCATCGGCTCCGGCAGCTACGTCATGGGCTTCGTGCTCGCCGACTCGCGCAACTGGCTGCTGCCCACGGCGACGAGCACCTCGGGCGGGCAATCGGCACCCCCCTTCTCCGACTTTGTCGTGCTCAACACGTTTGAGAACCTGCGCCGCGCCGTCAACGAGGACAAGGCCGACTTCTTCATGTGGGAGCACTTTACTTCCAAGCGGTACTACGACTCGGGCGAGATCCGCCGCGTCGGCGAGATCTACACGCCATGGAGCAGCTGGAAGATTGTGGCAAGCACGGGGCTGGTCGGCGAGGACGGGGGGTTGGATGCAAGGGTCGAGGACTTGATGGAGAGGTTGAACCAGGGGATCAAGCATTTCAATGAGAATCCGGAGGAGGCCGTCAAGTACATCAGCACCGAGCTGGACTACTCCGAGGCCGACGCGAGGGAATGGCTCAAGACTGTCAAGTTCCCGGAGCGGACGCAGGGAGTGAGTCCCGGCGTCGTGGACAGGGTGGTGGAGATTTTGAGCAAGGCTGGGGTCCTGGTCGAGGGGAAGGGGATGCAGCCAAAGGAGATGGTTGCGCTGACCAGATAGAGGCTATCTTGAGCTGTGAAAATATACCCAAGACCGTTGTCAATGACCTTGGGTGGCCAACCGGGGGATTGAAAGGTGGGGCACCGCCCCCCCGCCTCCAACTTTTTTACCTTTAGGCTTTTAAAGGAAATTGAACTTCTTTTGCAGTCCACTACTAACCCACGAGAAAACAGCATGTCCCAACCCTCGCAAGAAGCCTCCAAGGGCAAGGCTTCGGCTAAGAGCAAGGCTCCGGCCCAGGACAATACGCCTCAGTCAAAGCAAAGGGTATGTACCTATATTATTTATTTCTTCCCTGTCTTTCCCTGTCTCGTTGGGCCGATCCTTACTGTTAACTCAGTCCGAAAATGACCACTACGGCGCCAACCTCCTCCTTAACGGCATAGGCAGTCCCTTTATCGGCAATACCAAACTTACTAACGATATCGACGACTTTGGGCTCCGTGTCAAGTTTACTATTTCGGCAAGCAAGAAGTCGGATTCTTTCGTCGGGTTTTTCCTATCCTTCCCTAGCAGACTAGAACGAAGATCTTAGGTTTAGGGCTTCTTTCCGTCCCGATATTAGTAACTAAAATTTTACGGTAGCCGTTATCAAGCCGACACAAAACTTCCTCCTGAATATTCTTTTCATACCCCCCTACTTTTCTTAGTACGCGCGGGCAAGATATACCAGAATCCTTAATAATTACGACCCGCGAGAATCGTATACGATAACTACCGGCTACTTTAACGGTACGCGTAACGGCGTTATAGGCTATAGCCGCCTACAATACTTAAAATTCCCCTATAAGGCCTTAAAATACTTAGTTAATAATAGTAAACTCGATATACGCTACTATAATAGTTCCCGGCGTTAACGCGGTTACGATAATACCTTTACGAATCTATAGGTAAAAAAGCTATAAGTTAAGCCTATAACTCCCCTTATTACTACTAGGAAGTCTTTGCTATTAACGATAAACGTTATAATAAGGTACGACGCCTATCGTAAGCTAATACTCCTACTTATTAAAAACGGAGATTACGCCTTATACGAGAAATAAGCCTTCCTAATACATTAGAAAGAGTATTTTAATAACGAAGAAGTTAACCTTTTTAAACTATACCTAAAGGCTTAGTTCGACTTTTCCTAAATCTATTATCGAGTTATCGTTATCTTATAATTTTACATCTTTAGTATATATACTTAAACTACCCGACTTAATATTATTATTAAGAACCTTTTAAACGGAGGCTTTAGCTTAAATAACCTTTCTATTTATAAGAAGGTAGTCTTAACTTT